GCGCCATTCCCTGAGCTCTTCACATCCGCATTCAATCTTTGGATGCAAAGCAAGTATCACGCAACATCCGAGACGTTGAAACAGGCTTTGTTCGACTCCTGCAAGCTCGAGGCAGGTATCGAGGCCCTGAAGTATTTGTATCTCATGGCCGACGGATCTGCCGCAGACACATTTTGCAAAGGGATCTTTACGAGGCTAGACGCCCTTCGGCCTGACTGGCACGATAGATACTCCCTGACCGGACTGGCGCAGGAGGCCTTCATGTCTCGCGTTGATTCGACTCGTATTGTCGTCACCGTCCGCCAAGAAGGTCAGAAAGTGTCCGTCGTCGCTGCTCGCGACCAGGTTCAGAAGGCATTGCCAGAGATTGTTCTCCAATATCGATTGCCTTGGCCCGTACAGCTGGTGGTGACCCCAGATACGGTAGTCCATTACCAGGCGGTATTCATCCTGCTTATGCAGATCCGACGTGCCGCCGGTCTGCTGCAACGTAATCGCATCTTAGACGAACTAGCAACCCACAGGGAGATCTGGGGCAACAGGGCTCTGTACTATTCTCTCCGCTCAAAGCTCATGTGGTTCTGTAACTGCATCCAGACGTACCTGGTCACGTTGGTATTAGCACCTTACACAGAGCAGCTGCGGCGGAATCTACGAGATGCGTATGACGTCGATGCCATGATCAGAGTCCATGCAGCCTTCGTGAAGCAGGTTGTTGACGCGGCGTGTCTCGGCAGAAAATTGGATCCCATACGGGGTGCTACGTTGGACATAATGGATTTGGCTGCGAAGCTAGAAGACGCGCAAAGCGCCAGTGCCGCCGAGGAGGCGGAGGAGGCGCAGGAGCTGTCCCGCTTGTCGCTCATGTCCTCGCCGATGAAAGCGAGCCCTCGCCGGCGAAAACCGGTCGTTTACACCGAAGACAGTGACGATGACGGAACGGAGGGTCTCGGGGATAGGGCTCAAAGGGGCACCCTCAATGGGGGCAAGGGCTACCTCGAGAGCTTGCGGGAGATTAAAACGGATTTCGAGAGGCACTTGAGATTCATCTGTGGGGGTTTGAGGGGGGTTGCCAGGGCTTCAAGCGACGAAGCGGCAACAAAATGGGACCTCTTGGCCGAAATGCTGGAGGTGGGCGTGAAAGAGGGCGCTTGAAAGGAGAAATGGCGTGGCTGACTGACTGAGAACTTGGTCCGTAGACCCGCAATACCTTTTAAAGTTTGACAAGGAGCCAGGAGCGAGCTGAGGATCAATGGGATTCCTTGATTCCCCATCTGATGTCGAACCGTTCGGCCAACGCCAGACTGTGTGGCTGCAGGATCCATCTGCAGGAGACTGAAATTATTGGAATCGCGCAGCGACGATCACTCTTTGGCGGGTGAGCGGTCAAACGCGATGGGATGATGCTCGCTCGGTGAGCCCAGCGGTCATCGTTGCTGTATCCCACGATGCAAACGTCCACCGACCGGAGAACGGCAGGGCTGCTGAACCATGTCGCTCGGTCTCTACGAGGTCAATAGGTCTTGCGTGGTGATTCCGGTTTTGAACCCGCAGACTGTGGTCTTCGCGAGTGATACGAGCGTCCCAATGCAACGGGTGGTGATTCATGACCAACCGGCTGTTGAGGCGTAGCTTAGTCTGAGGACCCCTTTTCACGGACCATTCGGGAACAGAGTACCATCGTCTTGCTTTCTCACGATGCCGTCCTGCGCGTTGCTCTAGCGGTGTTGAGACGCGCATGCACTGGACCCCTGTTTTCGTGGGACGGAATCAACGACGCTGCCAACTTTTCGGTCCCCAGCCGTCCTCGAACCTTGGAACGAGCAAGATCGACAGTGGGGCACCCTCGGGTCGAGGCTGGATAGCCAAGGATGCCATATCCAACAATTTCACCCCCTGTGCCCTCAACTTTTTCTGCCCATTCAGTGTCGCATTCTGCAGCGGCCAGACGGTGTCACGTCGACCCCTCAGTTCCTTTGTCTTCTGGGCATATCCATGTCTGCCCTGTTCATCAGCCCACGGCGGCCGTCGACTACTGCATAGTATAGACGACCATTTGAGTTGGGGGTTGCGTTGGTGCCCGAGTTGGAGAAAGAATTCATTGAATGTCGGGGAATTTGAGAAGCTCGGGCTTCTCTGCGCGTGATCAGGTTCGATGGACGGTAGACCTTGGTTCTGCACGTGTGGACAGGGAAAGTCGGGGGTCAGATGGAGATGGGTGAGGCTCGTCGCCGGACGACGCCGACAGCGCGGGTTTGACTTTGGCTAGCGTTCAGGTTGGTCCCCTGGAAACCGGAGGTAGCTCCTACGAGGTGAGAGAGTGCCCAAATGAAGCGACGTGGGCAATTGCGGACTTATGAATTGATTGTGATGTGAGGCAGAGAATTGCTCGATTTCGAGATGCCTTTGCAGCGCGGACGGCAGTGTCCATGACTGAAACGGTGAAAATGCTCAGAAAACGGAAACTGTCTGTTGTCGTTGCGAAACCGTAAATGTAACTCGGAATTTCTGTTGCACCGTAGTTCCGAGAGGCCGTCTGTTAGGTGGGGCTCACGTACCGTCCGCGCCCCACCTTTGTCATCCATCAACCATCGAAGTTAGCTTGGGTGAGTGCACGCAGCTTTATCGCGACATCTTCAACCTCTTCACCAGCAACTTCCACGACTGTGCGCCACCACAACCACAAAACACAACGCATCGCCCATCATGTCCGAGCGAAAAGTCCTCCAAAAGTACTATCCCCCGGATTTCAACCCGGCGGACATCACCCGCAAGCGTGGGCCCAAGTCGACGGGCCCCAAGTGCCAGACTGTCAGAATCATGGCGCCATATTCGATGAAGTGCACCTCCTGCGGCGAATATATTTATAAAGGCAGGAAATTCAACTCGAGAAAGGAGACGCACCAAGAGGAACGGTATCTAGGCATCCAAATACACCGCTTTTCGATCCGTTGCACCAGATGCTCCTCAGAGATCGTCTTCCGTACCGACCCCAAGTCGGCAGGCTACATGATGGTCAAGGGCGCCGTGCGCAACATGGAGCCGTGGCGCAACAAGGAGGAAGAACAAGAATCCGTTGAGGAGCGCCTAGACAGACTCGAGCGCGAGGAGGCCGAGGCCGCGGGCGAGGAGGAGCGCAACGCGATGGCCGACCTGGAGGCCAAGAATGAGGACGCGCGGAGGGAGATGGCCGCGGCCGACGCGTTGGACGAGATCCGGCAGCGCAACGCGCGCATCCAGCGTTCCGAGAAGGACGGCGTCGACTTTGCGGACTATGTCGTCAGGCCCGAGGACGAGGAGAAGGCGCGGTTGGAGAGGGAGGACGACGAGGCTGCCAGAAAAGCATTCGCCGCTGCCAGGGAGCGCGCTGCTGCTGATCTTGGGGAGGAGATTATTGAGGATGATGTTGTGGAGGAGCCGGTGGCGGATTCGTCTGCGTCTTCGTCAACGGCGAAGAGCGAGACTATGGCTAAGGACACCGCGTCGATGCCCCCGCCGCCTCCACCTCCCGCAAAGAGGACGGTCAAGAAGAAGAAGGACTACTCTGCGGCGTTGGGCATCAAGAAGAAACCCTCGCTGGTGTGAATGAGAGTCTGGCTGATGCAAAATTTGGAAGGCTGCCGTCATGTCGCAGGCGAGGCTGAGGCTTCTGCACGTCATCGCGCGGCCGGCGCACACATGGATGGTTGGTGTATGATTATCTGGGAATATTAAAGTTGGGGGGGCATGGCGTTTCGGAACAGAGAGGTGTCGCACAGACGAGGCGACCTATGGCATTTGGACTCCGGCGTAATGATTGTTAGGCAATGGTGTGCGGACCGAGGGGACGGTCGAGGCCCGTTCGTCGGTGGGGGATGGGTTGAATAGACTCTGCACGTCAAGTTTGGAGAAATTAGACGTCACTTCTCGACCTTCGTTCGCTTGCACCCTTCGCCTTCGGTGACATTCCATGAATGCTATGCAAGGAGCTCTGCCCAATCCTCCTCCTCATCCTCCCCTGACGACACTGGATATGCATCTGTGCTCAGTTGAACTCTAATTCACCCCGTCCATCACCTGAGGGACTGTGGATCATTACGGTAATAGGTGTTCTGCTTTTTATGCTGCGTGCTCAGCTTGGCGTAGCGCAGTCATTTTTGTTTAAGCTTGTGAGCTTGTAAGGTTGTTTGTGTGAAGGTTTTTTTGGGGGGTGTGAGGCATGTGAGCTTTCGGGAGAGTGACGCGGAGATGGGGGCAAGGGGGGGCGGTTTGGGGACGAGCCGATCGTGACGGGGATTGTACAAAGCCTCGAAATCGAGGCTAGGTTAAGTAGTCTGTTGTGAAGTTGGTTAGATAGACGTACGACTAGTCGCAAGGCTAGGGTTATGACTAATTTTCCTATCTGGAATTTTCGGTGCTAATTGTCAGAGACGAGGTAGTGAAACGGTGACGACTAAGATGGAACATTGTAAGACAACTAAAATGAATAACACTACCAACGACGTCGTTAATGTAAACTGGGCAACCAAGCAGCATATATCACAGTACCATCCAACAACATCAAAATTTGATACCATGTAGGCAAGTGAAATTGGAGAATATACGATTGAGCGTATCACAAGTACGATTGCAAATAGTGGTGGTAACGATTGAAAGTGTCATTTATTCGTGGAATCATAGGCAGTGTATGATCTGCCCATGTGCTCTCCCCAACGCCTTGCAAACCATAACCAATTCTCGGCTTGGCTGTGAATCAGAAAACATGAACAATCAAAAACAAATATTTCGCGCCATTCCAATGCTTCGTTGTGGTGTTCACCGTAACAGTTGTACCGGTCGCAAATCGTACGCCTCAAATTCGTGCGTTTTATCCTCCTCGCGCCAATTGCTCAGTTCGCTACATTCGCTCTTTGAAATGTTGGGGCCAACGGCTTGGAGGCAAATGGAAGCCCAGGCCGAGCAGCAGCGTCGATGTCGAGGTTCGAAGATCAACTATTGCATGATACAATTAAAAGATCCAATTATGAGCTGTAGTCGGGACTGGAGGAGTGGCCGTGGGAGTGGCTGGGGTAGGAAGTGCGGCCTCCCGATCTCCGCGACGATGAGCGATTGGCAGCCTCCATCTGGCGCTTGGTGTGTTGGTGCATCGAGCGCATGTAAGTCGACAGATCGCTCGGGGGAGGAGGAGAGATGGGGATGGAGACGGAGTAGGCGTCCTGGCGGGCGGGCATGGTGGCAGGGCTCATGGATACGTTTGAATAAGTTGGTGTTGGTGTATTAGAGGTGGTCAGATTGGAAATTGACCAAGGTGTTGTGCGAGTGTGTTGTTGTTGTGATTATGATTGTATGTGAGCTTTGATTTATAGCTTTGATAGAAATTGATAGAGGATTGGTTGTTGGTTTGACGGTGCGGGTTTGGTTTGGTAATTGTAGGCTGATGCTGATGAAACGGGAGACGCAAAACGGTAGATGGCAGGAATGGCCCTGGGTTTATAAATGAAAATAAGAGGGGCGAAAGGGTCGCGCAGGCCAGGCACACGGCAGCGGCAAGCCTTGTCGTGGAGAAGAGGTGAACACAGACGTAAGGAAGGGAAAAGTTGGGCAGGATGGGGTTGCGTGGGTGCGGTAGCGCAGGCTTGGTGTGAGGTGAGCAAGCAGAGCAACGCAAACCCGTCAGGCAAAACACAGGGTCCGTCACTAGCGGGACTGGGACCTTTCGGCACCCCCCCTAGGTGCTGCACCCCTCCTACCCTGACCTCACCTTACACCCCCCCCCCNCCCCATATTGGGGCCCAGGGGGCGGCGACGGCGGCGGGGGGGGTCTGAGAGGCAGAGGCGCAGAGACAGACGCTGGGGAGACATGAGACCGACCGTCAGTTCCTTTCCCTCTCCCCTCATCCTCCGTCGCTAGCGCTCCCATCCGCGCAGGCTGCTGCTGTATATCCCGCCTTATCCCAATTCGCGAGGGATCGGCGGTGATTGATGGGCATCTTAGCGTTACTGGTGACCCCCGGGCTGAGGTCTGCACAATATGGCGTAACTAGTAGCCGGGGGTTTCGTGGTCCGTACGGCGGAAGGGCCAGCTAGGCGAGCAAGTGCTCTTCATTCCTTCCCCTCCTCGCCACGGGTACTGCAGGGCTGGATGATGCAGTGAGCGCTGCCTCTGTACGGTGATACAAAACAGCAGCACAGGGTGCCGTAGCGCGGGAACGCAGAAAGGTGTGGTTGAGGCGCTGCCGGGTTCAAGAACGGAAAGACCCTGCTGATCCTGTGTCCAGACTGAAGTCACAAGTCATGTCATTATTGGCCACAGTTCTTCTCTTTTAGGGGGTGAGCTGTTGAGCTTCATGCCCGTGGAGGGCGTTTCTTTCGTTCTGCGAGAGAGTTTGAGGCAACGAAGATGGGCAATCTCATTTGCTGCTCTTCTCTACGTCTCTGAATAGGACCCTGAGAGGCAGGATGGATTTCCCAGACGGGGATGGACCGGGCGTCGGCGGCAGGTCCCACCCACCTGTGAAAGATGGCAACAGAGACAGGACGCAAGCGATAGGGATTATCGTGTCTTGTGTCGTCGTCGTATCGTGCCCCTCACGAGATTCCGCCGGCACGCATGTGTTGGACCCTTGATTTGCCCATCCCATGGCGGATTAAGAAATGAAGTATCGAAAGCTTGAAACCTTCCGCCGAGGCCACCACCATCAACACCACCCTCGACGGGAGGTGTGGGTTCTCGCTTGTACCTCGCTCGCCAGGGGAAGCGCAAATGGTACGGGGAATCCCATGGGAGAAAAAACCAAATGCAAGTGCACTAAAAGAAGCATCCGCAAGCAACGCTACGGCGGACGGGGCCAGCGGTCACAAGCAAGAAAGCAGGCGGCCAGCAAGAAAGAAGAATCAAGGTGGTCAACGACAAGAAGAGACACGCGCTACTGGCACTTGACCAGAGACACTGGCAGTCAGTGGTTTGACATGACAAGGAATGAGACAGTGGAGGCAAGCAAGCAGCGGAGAGTAGCCATTTCTCGTCTAGCGCAGGTGTAGAGTAGATTGGGGTGAGTGTGCGCCGCCTCACACAGAAAGGAAGGCGCGAGAGAAGCAACAGCAGCAGCAGCAAGAGAGGGTTGGCAACGGTGCGGCCAAGAAGCAGTAGCCAAGCAAGACTTGTCGTCAAAGATCGGCGGGTGGAGCAGACGTCATTGGCCGGTGCGCCTCAGTCGTCGGCCGGACCCCGGGTGTGGTCGTTTGCGAGTGTGGATCCGTGTCTTGCTGCTGACCGTCAGTGCCGTCCGTCTACCCTCCACTTCCTTGCTAGGTACGGACGGGTACGTATCCCAGTTTTTGAGCCAGGCACCCCAGGGGACAGAAGCACAGACCCTAAAGACGACTTGGACGTCCACTTTGGCCGCGACAAGTGAAGCCATTCCCAGTCTTGCCTCAACCCCCAGGGCGGCCTCTCATTGGTAAGATCTCCGTGTTCTGTGGAAACGCCTTCCAGATCTCAGCGATACGTACCGACTCGAAATGCGCATCGTGAGCCCTTGGCCCCTGGAGCGGCGGCGGCGGCGGCGGCGGCGCTCACCCACCCAGTTACCGCCAGCATGGGATTCTGCGCATTTGCCATGGCTGCAAGATTGGGGTTTCGGCGCTCTTGGGCCTCAATTTCCCATGTTCCCGCCTCCGAGGAAAGGATGGTTTTTTTTTCCCTCGTTTAATTCCCTCATCCGACGACGGCCTCAGCACCCACGTCAGGGCCAGCGTCAGGGTTTCGGCTTGACGTTGCCCCTCACCCTCCTGCTCTCGACAGCAAAGGTCCACCGGATCTAGACCTCTCCGATACGATTGGGGGCAGGAGCCAACCGCCAGGTACGTCAGATTGAAAAGAAAGGGACCGTGGTGCATTGCAGATTCTGGCAGGTTGGAGAAAATTGGAACAGTCGGGAACTCTCCGCTCTTTCGTCGAACATCACGGAGCCGGGAGGCGGACGAGTAAATGTGTATGGGGGTGGTGCTACATCACATCCGGCCGATTCAACTCAACCCTCACCGAGAGATTCTCGGAAGTTTTCCCAGGTGAGAGAAACCCAGAGGGCATCAACCCACATGAAATTGAGATCCGACGCAACGAGACACATTTTGAGCAATTGCGAGCCAGCGAAACAGCGGGGATGAGCGCTTGTGTCCCAATTGTTTATGTGGTTCACTTGTGGTGGTGGTTGTCTGAAGGTTCGGGCGGTCTAGAACGATTCAGTAACGGATTGTCTGCCTCCCTTGGAGTGCGGCAAAGACTCTCTGTCAGAAGTCAGGCAGCTCTGACGGAAGATTGCCGGTACGTAGCCGGACCGTAAACGTCAGGATGGGCGACGGACGGCTGGGGGCGGGACGTGATGGAACTATGCAGACGAAATCGTGTGGCAGGAGGGAGTGTCGCCGTAGAGACCGACCGCAGTTGCGTAGTCACAGAGACTCGAGGACGACAGCCTCACACGAGCACACAGACGTCAAGGCTGACGGAACTCACCATGCTCGAAGCTATTCTCTACGTCTAACTCGCCGTTTGGATGTGCGGCCCTGCCTCGAGCTACGCCGCGAGTGTCGTCAGGTCTTGCCAATCAGGTGTCCTCTGAAGTCACGCAGCGCCACTGATGCGGCGCCCGATGATGTCACGCACACACCCCTGCCCCGACGGTCCGAGCCCCCTGCAGCAGCTCTCAACCAATCATACCGGCGGACGCAGCGTTTTCTGGTCCCCTCCCCTCAGTTCCGCCTACCTAGTAGCGTTTTGGCAGAATGCTCCGTCACACTACAGTTCGCACTCCCCCCCTTTTCCTCAAACGCTGGCTCATTCCGTCACAGGAAGGGAAACGACACGCGCGACGACCTCATAGCACCACCACACGCTCCTCCCCCAGTCATATCGCCTTTTTTGCCCCAGACCCAGGCCGAACCGAGAAACACACACGCCTACGTCGAGATCCGGCAGGACCCTTTCTTCTGGATCTTCAGATTGACACATTGCTTTGACGTTTTGGAATGCGGCTCCCCAACCCTGACGTTAGGTCTGGGTCTCCGTCTTCGAGGAATTGGGGGGGGGGCTCCTCTTACACAACGGTCTAGATCCTTTCTACCTCATTCCTTGCCACAGCTATCATCATCGTGCGACCAGAGCTTTCTCTCCCGCTCTCATTCTCTAGCACTCCCCCTCCATCGCGGCTGCTAGACGAACAGAGCTCTTCGCTTAAACGCTCAACGGCACTTTCCATGAAGCAACTGCCCGCCACCTGCATCACTCCAGCCCACATTCTAATGCGCAAACTCGCCTCAGCCTCGAGTTGGGGGGCAGGCAGGCAATCAGGGTGCGCCAAGGGATTCATACCCCCGACCCATACGTCTGGCCCGAACCAAAAAGAGGCTCACGCATTCTTTGCAGACGCGCTGGTGGTAGCTGCTGCGGTTAGACTTGGGGACCGCCCAGCATCACACGTGATGACGACATGCCTCACCTCATCTCAACAGTGACACCATGCCCCAAAGAGCAAAGCATCATACGGGACGGGCGCCGCTCTCACTCTCTCCTTCCCCAGACATCCCATGTTGCGCATCTAGACCGAAGAAAGGGCGATGAGCGTCGGTGACCGCATAGCCAACCGGCTCCAACCCCTGGCATTATCAGCCTAGCGAAACTAACAAAGCAAATCTTTAATCATTGCATTTCGCCTCCATGTCGTCAATTCCTTTTGTGACCAACGGTGGTAGGGCCGCGGTAGGAGCCGCTCACTTTTCTCAACGGCTGCTATGAACGAATGGCTCAGCACAATGACATCGGTCTCTCGCTTGCTCTGCGGTGTGGCCCGTGTTGTGGGAGCTTCTGAAGATCTGAAGAGGGGGATTAGGAGGCAAGTGATGCTGTAACGTCATGAATGATGCTGTCCTACATCGTTTCCACCCGAACCGTCAGTGGCCTCAATGCACCCACGAGCTCATACGGATTCAACCCTTGTATTCGCGTTGCGGTCCAGGCTGGCTGTTTCGTTCGCCGTCACCAAATCTGACGAGATCTGGTGGTTCCCACTAGCTATGTATGCTTCGAACCAACACACGAGAGTCTGGGCCTTGGGGGCCGTGTATTGACAGAATGGCATTAGACTCACACCGAAACGCCGACATCCACCTCAGTAAGTCACTCTCCGCCGACACCACTCTGCGTCCGCCTGATGACTCGAGGCCCGACGGTAAAGATCTCGATACCGGAACCCTTGTAGACAGTGATTGGCCTGTGGCGAACCCTCTGATGATCCCCCTCCGTCACCCTCCGTCATTTAGGCCGCCGACCCCGTTTCCCGGTGGCACGACCCCTAGTTGATGACCCGGAGGACATCAGCGGTTACGGGACGGTAGTGTGTCTTGACGGACATCAGTGTCTTCTCAACGACGTCTATCGAAGGTCTGAGAGCGATAGCATCATGGTGTCGGTGTAGAAATTCGCCTCGTCATCAGCTGATTGTGAGCTCCCGCCACTGGCATGAGCATTGAGATGTCCAGAAGCACCAGCTGTGACGAGAATCGAGAATATGAGGCACCCAAGGAAATACTGGGGTTGATTGGAGCTGTATGACGTTCCACTGTGCGCCGGTCCAGAGTCCATCCGTTAAGTACGCGGGATACGTCAAGAAACCCCCAGGTGAGAGGTCCAATATTCTGGAAAACATGCCCTCTTCGAAGATTTACCTGGAGAGAAGCCTGGAGTCTGCTTGATGAGAGGTACTGTTACTCCATATCAAGTACTCTTATGACATGCGTTCTCCAGTTATACCTGGGGGAGAGTGGGTAGGAGGGCCAGTCATCCGATTCGCATCTTCTCTGGGCTGCTTCTCTCCGTTTGGCTTGTATCTGGATAGTAGGTCTTTCATAGCCTCCTCAAGCTATCTTCACTTTACTACACAGGCGCGAAAAGACCCGTTGCTCTTTCTTGGAAGCACACATCACGGTAGCACCGCGGGCGCATGGCCATAATCGTGTTCAGGGGATTCAGTATTGATACAAGATGACAGGCAACAAAGTTCGCCGGCAGGAGACAAGTTGAACCTCCTTCGCGCGGCTCTGCCCAGTTGCTGCTTGCGTGGTTCCAAGCTGACATGATCCCTCAACATAGACATCGGACCTTCTATCTATACAATATCAAACAAGCCCCAGGAATCAAGCAATTCGATATGAAAACAAAACTTTTTGCCTCACAATCCTATCTTGTTGGCGCAAGCATGCGACTGACAAACCCGAATCCGAATCAACTACACGATCACGAAGCTAAGTCCTTGATAAGAGCCCGCCTATTTCCCCTGTGCTAGGGCGACTACTTTTCCTGTTGCAGGGGGACTGCTTTTACTGTGGTTATACCTTACTCTGCTTCACTATTATCGTCGTTATTACTATCGTCGTTATCGTCACTCTCGTCAGCATAAGTAGCTAAGAAGACAATGCAATATAGCCGCGCAGACACGGAAAAATAGGCTGTCTCCTTGTTGAACCGACACATCGAGACTCCCGTTCCTTGCTCCTTCGTACCGATCAAAGCGCATACGGACCCAGAAGAAGGGCAACATACATAGGAACGATGTGGTGCTGGCTGGCTCGCAACCATGAGATGTTTGGAGTCGTGTGCCATTAACATAGTACCCGAACGGAACAACACATACGTGGATTATCTAGTGACTGTTCTATGATTTGGAGCTTTTGCCAGCCTCGAAAGATGAAGTTCCATCGTATGGTTGACGGTTGCTTCGAGGATGCGGCGAGATGATTACCCTGCCCACATGTGCATTTGAATCTCACGAGCTGCCGTTTAGATGTGACCCGTTGAAGCTTTGGAGTCGATTATGTGTGGAAGATCACGATAGGCCTGATGTCGTGGTAGCGGCTTACCGGCGTCGGGCCCGATACCTATCCGGAGAGTAGGCGAAGAGGGCCGATACAAAGATCCCCGAGGCCACGGACCTAGTGGGAATCAGCTCGGCCGGACTTCCGAGGGCCGGGTGGGACCTCGTCCGGATGCATGATTCTTTCCTAAAGCTTCCTTCCACACGGAGGGGTAACAGCCACGATGACAACGTGGCGAGGAGAGCGCTTCAAAAGCCACGAAAGCCTATCACAGGGCTTGTGGAGAAAGCGCCTCGTGTGTCACTTTTCGAAGCAAGAGCCATGTGCCTTGTTTGCCCATGCAGGCGTAAAATCTAATCACTCCTGGAAGCAAGACCCCTCTAGGTGAGTCCTGTCACGAAAGCGAGCATACCGTCACCTCCTCGTTCGCAAGACCTTGCCGGGCCCTCCCTCTCCGACTGCCACACACACTTTAAAGTGTGCCGTCGACCTCACAATGGCCGACGGATTCAGATGAAACCTCGCCTCTCGGACCTGACACCAAAACTCAGAACCTTGTTCTGGATGAGATGCCCTTTATCTCTGATGTTCGACCCTTTGGGACCGGTATCCGAGTGTTCAGACGCACCTCGCCGAGAACAAATCTCAGAACTTATCTCGAGGAGGGGAGATGGGTATTTTCTGTGGCGGGCAAATTGAGGAGTACTGACGATCAACTACTGCAGTCCTCGTCTGATTTCATAATAAGACCCTTGCGTCCTGGCCTGCGAGCACGATAACCAAACGTTGATCTCTGTCGATCCTCCGGTTGGACCCCACTGACATAATCGTCCAGAGGCGGGGGTAATACTTGGAGGGACTCTCGAGGTGCGCCAGGCACAGATCTTTCGGTGGTAATTTATGTTCCTTGCCCTTGTCAACGGTCTCGACCAAAACCTCGCAGGGTTCTCGCATTCCGCCATCTGTCTTTATCCCTCAAAGGCACTTTTGGCCGTCCGGAGGAGTAAGGCCATGGATGCATCAGTCTCCGGGCGGCGAGTCTCCATCTGGGTGTTGTCAGCGTCGATCATTCGACTGGCAGACCGCCAACTGGATGCACCCACAAACGAGACGGTTCGTGATGCCACAATGGACGATTCTACGAACCAGTTCGATAGAGAGATGCCCGCAACCTTGACGAACACTGCGGCTTTTGCAGATCCACGAGGCATTTCTTAATGCTTGCCAAGACGCACCCAGACGAATTGGTCCGGTCCGGTCTTCCACAACGCCGTGCTGGGCTCCTTAGTGAGGTCAGCAAACCTTGCCTTGGCGATTCAGGCTCGCGAATCATGTAAGTCGGTCGAGACCCTTCCCTCACGCGGGTGCGGGAAAACGGTCGTGCCTCGCTTTCGTCTGGTTTTGCCAAACACCACTGAACGGCCCATTTCGTCTTGCCCATTCCGCCATCTCCTCGGGTCGCGTCCAAGAACCAGTGTGGCTTCGCAACCAGCCGGATATCCAGTGGGAATTACACTCGTCCTTTAGGAACAATTCCTCTAGCCGGTTAAAAGAAGAGCCTCGTGGCAAAATTCAGATGGCGTCCATTTTGGATTTGAACCTCACGGAAGCCAATTGGTGAGAGCACCAGCAAACTCCGGGTGCCGAGTATCGGAAACAAAAGGCCGATGTTTCATGCTTCTCTGCAAACCTGCTACTCGTCGTGGCGGGGTTGTGCCAGCGATACCAAGTGCAGCCACCATGGCTTTCCCAGCTGGACGACCGGCAGTGCCCGAGTTATAGCTACCACATATTGCCAAGACCGGGGGAATAACTGGACCGTCGTTCGGGGGGTCGAAGAACCGCGGTCTGGTGACTTATGTCATATCATGGAATCACCCTCAATTAACCTGGCGAAGATCGAGTTCGTGCCAGAAGAACGTGATTGGCTCCCGGCGCAACGGCCAGTACAGAGTCGCAATTAAAGATGTAAGGCGCATCACAAACCCACAGACCCCGGAGGGACTCTGGAACCGTGCCGGCGTCGCACAAACATCCCAACTTGGGCAAAGACTTGAGCTCGACCAAATAATCGTCGAGTGTTCTTGCAGAAAAAGGCAGAATGAGTGGAAATCATCAATCATGTCAACTGAGAGTTGGTCGGGAGAGGCTTACATCACGTCTGGCAATTGCGAGCGGATTAACACCGAATACTAATGTGCGGACAAGAAGTCGAAATCAAACTTACTGCGCACTCTGGGAAGGAACAAGACAGCAAACACGCTAGACGGTGCAGCCCTGCGACATCGCAGAAAACACTCACAGGCCGTGCTCTCACGTTCAAATAAGGATGACCCTGCATAATTTTCAGGTACACACTTCCCCGCCCATCGACGCACATCTCCCGAGAGCAAGAGAGTGTGATCGCGGTCAATGCTTGCTTGATGCAGCAGCGTGGCCTGCGTGTTGTAACAAGATTGCTGAGACAGCGTTTCATCTTGGCTCTTGAATGTTTCCGCTCCGCGGCGGGATGGCCACCACCCTCCAAGACTTTGGTGTGTGTGTCTCTCTCTGTGTGGGTGAGGCGACGAGAGAAGGCGATGTGTTCGCCCTAAATAATGTCTACGCCGGCGCCTCACCCACCCATTTGGCGTGTACGAAACTCTTTTCCCTTCTCTGTTAAACGACGTTGTGGTTGAGCCCGGTAGTCTTGTTGTTTCCTTTCTTTTCATTCCTTCCTTAGTGATCCCTTAACTCACCAGCAGCGAGAGAACCAAATTTACCTATCCGCTCCTTCGAGATTATTTTTTAATAATGTTGTCCAAGGCTATTGCCGTCCTGGCGGCGGCGACGTTGACGTCGGCCGCTACGCCCATGGGCTTCATGCCCGCCTCCAATACTCCCCTAATTGTCTCCTTCCAAGGCATTTCGGCGGTGGACGGCGTGAACCTTCCCAGGGATTGTAAGTGCTGCCCACCTACAGACATCATCACAGGGAGGAAGTGTAGGCAACGCGCAGCGAAATAGAACCTAACAACACGTCAGCTAGCCAAAACGTCCCCACGATCGCGACCGAGCAGAAGCTGCAGGGCCAGTACGCCGTGATGATGGTGGACATTGACGTCCCGACCAACCAGCCCCCGAAGACGGGCACGCTGCTCCACTGGATGCAGACTGGCTTCACCTCCGCCGACACCCCGACGATCCTCAACACGACCGCGGGCACCAAGACGGTCTTCGTGATGCAAAACAAGATGAACGCCGCCGCCCTCGCGCCGTACTTCGGCCCCAACCCGCCCGCGCGAGAGCCCCTCAGCCACCGCTACACCTTCGTCGCCGTCGACCACACCCAGATCTCCCAGCAGGGCCTCATGGCGCTCTCGGGCGCCGCCCAGAACCGCCGCGACTTCAACCCCATGAACGCCCTCATGGCCGCTGGTCTGCAGGACAAGGTCGTCGCGGGCAACTTCTTCCGCGTCACGAACGCCGGCCCCGTCGGTGCGGGCACGGGAATGGGCACCGGCCCCTCGCGCGGAAACGGCACCGGCTCTGGAACTATGCCTGGCAACATGCCCATGCCCATGCCCGGTGGTGGCGGCGCGGCGCCTCCCTCGATGCCTCCCCCTACCACCCCGACCACGCCCGGCGCGAACCCTGGTATGGCCCCGATGCCCGGCATGAGTATGACCCCCGGTATGACGATGCCCATGCCCGGTATGGCCTCGAACCCGCCGACCGGCGCTCAGCCCTCGAACCCGATGAAGGCGGCTGCGTCCGTCCCTGGCCTGAACCTCATGGCCGTGTGCCTGTGCGCCGTCGGTACGCTGTTCGTCTGGTTGTGATCCCCGCCCGCTCTGCACATATGGGTATAAAAAGGGGACGATGGGGGAGGAGTTCTTTCTGTTAAGTGGGGAGAGGCCAGAAGATCCTAACTTTCTTTCTCTTTTTCTTCTTCTGGCTGCCGCCTTTTGAGGGGAGCTGCGTGTGTGGGATGCGCAATGTAGTATATAAGTAGAGGAGCATGCCAATGCGACAGTTCATACGCGGCACTGAACCATGACGGGCGTGTGTGTGTGTGTGTGTGTGTGTGTGTGTGTGTGCGCGCGGGTTAGTTGTTGCCGATACCCAGCGACGTTGGTATCTGTCCCTATCAATTGAGTTTGAGGACAAGAGTACGCCAAGAAGATCGTGTATTCGTATACACGGGAATGGAGTTCCACCGGCGGCAACGGGTCATCGTCTCCGCCTCGGGAAGAATCTGGGCCCTGGACGAGCTGCGAGATACCCGAGACGGGCGGCTCGCAAGCCACCGAAGCCCGCCGCCGCGCGGGATAGTTGCTGTGGTCACGTGCTCTTCGTCACGCCCTTCCCCAATCAAGTGGGCCCTCGTCACGACTTGCCTGCCGTAGTTTTTCCCTCTACCCAAGCCCGTTCACCGGCTCCGCAAAAGCCACCCGCCAGTTCAATTGACTCCCGCGCGCGCCCACTCACTGTTTTCTGTCCTGCTTGCTTTCACTTTTAAAGGCCAGGAGCAGTCCGTAGATTAGCATAACCGCCGTCCCCGAACGGGCCCTAGCGGCGGATGTTTTTTTCTTATTTCCTCCCTAAGCATCTTTTGACTGCATTTGATATCGATCATAGCAGCGCTGCGGATTCTCTCCTGACGCTGTCTTCTGACTAAGGTAATGAATCATAACCGAGCGGCTGCGCTTGCATTCGTAATGCGCAAACAAGCCCGTTCTTCCACTTCATCAGTCATTCTGCACTCTGCGAAACGCCCCCCATAGCCACGCGCTGGGCCGCAGCAGCAAACACTATCGCACATGATGACCACTCGACTGGGGGCGGCGTCACACTCCAATAAACCCCTGCGAAACGGCACAAAAGACACAGCAGCACGGGAACATGTTGCGCCGCGCAGGCTGCGAAAATGTATCCGCGCCGCGTTGCGCCGTGCGCTCAGGTCCCCTTTTGATAACATTCGGAGACAATTTGGTATCCATAATTGTAGAAAATTAATCGGGGCAACATCTTTTTGGTTCTTTGAGCTTTGAATGCTGCTGTTCCGTGCGGGCTTAGTGATGCTACGGAAAAGGCTAGGATCTCGCATTTGCAATCCGATTCCTCGCGGGATAACTTCCTCTTGATCCGCCTTGCTGGATCTTGTCTCTTTTCTTCTTCTTCTTCTCCCAATCTCATATAAAGGTTGCATATCCCCTTCCTGAAGCTGGTCAGGAGTTCGGCAAGTTCGCAAAACACAACGGCACGCAATTCCCGTTTCGAAACGTATCGGAAACCTAAACGAGCACCTTCCCAGCAACCCTTTAAAGCAAGGACCAGCAACTGCAGCTTGCTTCTCGTTGGAGCTTCCTCTGGTCGACTCTTTTGAACCAACACCTCAACACGCAAGACCTACTTTTATTGTTCAATATTACAGAATCCTACATCACCTAGAATCTTACACTACTTAGAAAGCGATCTATTCTTTCTTCGTTTGAGATTATAGAATCCTGCATTGGAAAGCGCAAGATGCCTACCCTCGTCGTTCTTGGCGCCGGCCTGTCTGGCCTGCCTGTGGCGCATCACGCTCTAAAGCACACGGCCGCCCAGGTCAAGGATATGAAGGTCATTCTGGTGACGCCCAATGCTGAGCAGTAAGAGAGACACCGTTTTAGACACGCATATGCAGCACACTCACACGCATCACAGCTACTGGAACATGGCTTCCGTCCGAGGCGTCGTCCCCGGCCAGTTCGGCGACGACGTCCTCTTCTACCCCATCGAGCCCGAGCTGGCCCAGTACCCGAAGGAGCGCTGGGAGCTCGTCCTCGGCAAGGCCGAGACGCTCAACGACGACAAGAACAACGTCGTCATCGCCCTCAACGACGGCTCCCGCCGCACCATCCCCTACGACGCCATCGTCATCGCCACCGGCACCCGCGCCAAGGAGGGCATGCCGTGGAAGGAGGTCGGCACCACCGAGGAGACGAAAAAGTCCCTGCACGGCGTGCGACAGCTGCTCGCGGATGCCAAGAGCATCGTCGTCGCCGGCGGCGGCGTCACGGGCGCGGAGACGGCCGGCGAGATCGGCTTCGAGTACGCCCAAAAGGGCGGCAAGGACGTCTACTTCATCTACAACGACACGCTACCGCTCAGCCCGCCGTTCGTCGACAACGTCCGCAGGGCGGCACTCAACGAGCTCACCAAGCTCAAGGTGAAGCTGATCCCCGAGACCAAGGTCACTGCGGTCAAGACCGAGGCCAACGGGCAAAAGACGCTCGAGCTCACGACCAAGGACGGCAAGAAGACGACCATGACGACTGACGCGTACGTGCCCACAGTCGGCTCGATCCCCAACAGCTCCTTCCTGCCGTCCAACATGCTGGATGCGACAGGCCACGTCAATCAGGACGCCAGCCTGCGAGCGCCGGGACACGACAACATCTTTGTCGTCGGCGACGTCGGCAACCTGGAAGGGGAGTATGGCCGCATCGCAGACCTGCAGACGCAGCACGTCGTCAAGAGCATCCAGGCACACTTCACCGGCGCGGCGAGGCCCGCGGATTACGTTGCGGACCCCAAGGTGCTCGCAGGCATCACCATCGGCCGCAGCAGGGCGACGGGACAGATGGGCACGTGGAAGCTGCCCAGCATCGCCATCTGGCTGTTCAAGGGCCGGTACATTGGCACCGACTACGCCAAGCAGCTTGTCGAGGGAAAGCGGACGCTGCAGGCCAAGAACTGGTGAGCGGCTTTAGAACATAAAGATAGAACGGGGTGGAGAGAGAAGAGATCCGGATTAATGGGTAGACGACGACGACGCATGTTTGGAGTTTCCGGCGCTTGTTGGTTGTCCCGGCAGTAGGGCTGGCTGTCCCGTCCCACTGTTGCTTTTCTCCTGGGACCTGGGTTCTTTTGCGTGGCGACTTGGGGAGTGAAGGAGGCGAATTCGTTTGGAACGGTCCTAATTACCACATGTTCTCAACTGGACCGCGCTGAATACTATTAATTTTATGACGAGCATTCTGGTTCCAAACGTGGTGTTGGCGTGGTGAACTGTAAACGGTCAAAAGCAGGTGGAGAGGAATGGGCGCTAGACTCATGCAGACGGTAAGGTACGTACCTCCAGCAGACTGCGGCAAGGTGTGCTCAGTCACGTGCGACGACCTAGGCACCTCAAGCCGTCCGCCCAGTGGGTCCGTCTCAAGGCGGACTAGCGCCAAATTCCTCGAGCTTCAAAATGGCGGCGCGCTGCGAAAATTCTTTCGACCTTTCTTCTTCTTTTTCTTCCTTAGATCAAAAAGTAACCCAGAGCTGCCACGACCAGCACCAAGTAGCTCCACGGTGTCGAGTTGCCTTTTCCTCTCCGGAGGGAATGCTCTGCAGATTGAAACCCTTGATTATAGGAAGTTTTTCCCCTGGCTCTTTCGGGCGATGGGTGAGAAATGCTGTTGATGGGGGACATGCTTTCGAGCACGCTGAAGTTTTTTTTAAGTGTCTTTTAAAAAACCGACGCTTGTGTGCATATGAAATGACGGACTGAACGGAACCTGATCCAGGCTGGATGAGCTTTCCTCGGCTTAGCTGAAGCTGAGCTATGGACGGGTGATGAGGAGGCGCTCTCGCGTTATGACCATCGTTTGTGACACCTTCCCGGTGAATGGGTGACGAGAGTGGAAATGTCTCGATCCTGACCTTGCCCGTCCAGGACTGTTGCCAAGTTACGCAAGAAGCCTGGACTGGATCTGCGAGCGTGTCTCCTTTCGTGCTCATGCTGTTGTTCATTCAGCCTGTGGACTTGCTGCATATTTTCCACGGGAAGCTCTCGCCTTGTGGAGATGCGATCGTCGCTGAGGTCAGCTAAGGTAAGGGAAGGGAGTAAGTGACCCGACCCGCCCTCTCCTCTGGATCCATTCGTTGCCTGTCAATGCCTGTCAACGGCAGTTGCCCAGCTAAGCTCTCAACCGCTGCGAATGTGTAAGCTTGGGGTTGACTGATGAGCCAGAGACCGCTTGGGTTCTAGACTGTTATTCCCGAATTTGCACGTGTCTCGAGTTGCTTGTCGCTTCTGGGACCGGACGGCCCTGTCGTTGAGGTTGCAACGATGCCACATGTCTTGGCCCCTGACTACATTCTTGCGCCGTTGCTCCAAGCACGCAGCTCCGCGTCAGGTCCAAGGCACCGCACCGTCCAGTCTCACCCGGCACCTGCCTTCCCGTTTTCCTGTTGGACCTGCAGTCGCCATGGTGGTGCTGTGGTGTTGAACCTTCTTCAACTCGCTCGAGATGCAGTATCTGATGATGGATGCTTCTTGCTGTCGTTGAATGACCTGCCTCCTCTCCAATGTCCATATTCAAATGTAAGAATCATCAATCACATCTCTCGGGCACCATTCTCCCAGCATCCCAACGTCGCCCCTCTGGACCCATCATCTCCCATTGTCCCGTCCGCCCCCGGACTGAGGAATGCATCGTAATGTCCCCCCATTCCCTCCCTCTGCTTGCTTTCATGCGATGAGGACAGTCACCCAGGGGCCCAGGCTCCCGTGTGTTGAGCGCCTCGCCCAATACCGGCAACATTGCCCTTCGCTGTCTGTCTTCTCTATAAGACGAGGCAAGCCGAGCTTCATCCTGCCCATCTCTCGGATTAGTTCTCTCCTCCCCAGTTCTCTCAACCCCCCAGGTCTTCCGCCCGCCGAAGAACTCTCTCTCGCCCACCCAGTACACTCGTTGGACTCTGTCCCCTCACATTCGTTCCCCTCGCAGGATATCCTGTCTGTCGCTCGTTTCGTACAGCTCAATCCCGCTCTCCTCTCGCTCGCCAACCTAATCCGCCCGCCCCAAACACCCCTGCCAATCCAACAGACAACTTCCCAGAGCTCGTACAGGAACAACCGCAAAAATGAGGTTTGTCATCACTCTTCTTCGCGCGAGGTCCCACCACTTATACTAACCCCTCTTCCAAAGTGTCGGCCAACTTACCAGCTCCGCCTTCGTCACTTGTGACCCCATCCCGGCCACGGTGACGGTGACCAGCAACGTCTACACCACCGTGTACACCACCACCGCCCTTGCCGCCAACCCGACCACCTCATGGACTGCCACCTACACCATCACCGAGGTGTGCTCCGGCTACCCATGGGAGTACAAGACCCACGACATCCCCCCGTGCTTCGTCCCCACCACCGTCTACTGCGAGCCCTGCGCCCAGAAGACCATTCCCATCATCTGCCCGGCCCCGTCCATGACCGGCGGAGTCGTCATCAACGGTAACGGTGTCACCGCCAACAACATGCCCGTCATCACTGCCGCTCCCTACGGCGTGTACGGAGGCTACGGCTCCTACGGCGCTGGCAACCAGCAGCAGGGTGGCTCCGGCGGTCCTGGTGCTCCTGGCGGCGGCCCCGCTGGCCCCGGTGCTTCTGGTGCTCCCGGAGGTGGCCCCGCTGGCCCCGGTGCTTCCGGCGCCCCTGGCGCTCCTGGCGCTCCCGGTGCCCCTGGTGCTCCCGGCGGTGCCCCTGGCCAGACTGGCACTGGTGGCTCCGCCCCCGGCTACGGTGTCTATGGCAGCTACGGCGATTACAGCGTCCTCCCCGCTGCCCCCGGTGCCTCTGGTACCCCTGGTACTCCTGGCTCCCCCGGTACTCCTGGCACTCCCGGACAGCCTGGTACCCCTGGACAGCCTGGTGCTCCTGGCTCCCCTGGCTCCCCTGGCTCCCCTGGCTCCCCTGGTGCCCCCGGCGGCGCTCCTGGTACTCCTGGCGGTGCCCCTGGTACCCCCGGCGGCGCTCCTGGTACTCCTGGTGGCGCTCCTGGTACTCCCGGAGGTGCCCCTGGTACTGGCGCTGGCCAATCCGGCGCCGGCCAACAGCCCGGTGCTTCCGTCCCCGCCGGCGGTGCTCCCGGCGCCAACCCCACCGCTCCCGGCACCGGCAAGCCCTCAACCGTCGTCGTCGCCTCGGCACCGTCCCTCAAGCAGAGCCTCGGCCTCCTTTGCGGTATCGCAATGGCCGCCGGCTTCACCGTCTTTGCTTAAGTTTCGCGGCCACCCCTCTCTCACACACACATTTCCACGACTAATCTAATTCCTTCACGACCAAAGACAAGATCCCACAAGGGGGAGGGAATGAAGCATGTACCTGGGCATACGATTAGGGGATGTTGCTTGCTCTTCCTTTGTTCTTCATTTTTTTTCTCGCTCGCATGGAGAAAAATAGAAAGACCTCATTTTATCCTTCCTGAATGTTTTCGCACAAGTTGTTTTTCTGTTACTAATTGGCGGCATTTGGTGGCAGTACTACAGATTCTGCCCCAACCAAGCGGAGTTGGACATAGGTGGGACAATGGGACCCTCGGGTGTCGCGTTTTCATCAATTGAACGATTTTAGATTGAGTATGAATACAGGTTTCCATGGGTGTTTTGTTCGGATCCCTTCCTGCTGTGTGCTATCAACCGTCTCTGCGATCCAATATTGGGAGAGTACGTGTTGATGTTTGTACCATTTTTCATGAAAGGTGCGAGTGTAAAAAGGTGTTCGTCCGCGCTTTGATCCTCACCCGTCGCCAAGAGCTTTTGACATAACGACGGATGGGATGACGTTAGGGAGGGTGAGGACTTTTTCCCTCCCGGTTTGGTCAAAGTGGTTCTACTTGCGAGTGTGAGGGTGGATGAAATTTCGAAAGAAAAGTAACGCCAAACGAGTTCCCCTGATTCATTCATTCAGCCTGCTCTGCAAAGTTATTCGCGTTCGTTCTCTTCATTCCAGCACGCCGTCCTCTCCCTTGCTGCGGTGCTGCTGCCGGATGAACTCCTCCACCTGCGCGTCGTTGTACGGTCGTTCCGGGGGGCCAGGGATGCCCGGGCGCGAGATCTTTTCCTCCTTGTCCTCTGGCGGGTTGCCAAGGATCTTGGCGGCGGCTGGAATGTACTGTGTCACTTTTGTGGAATGTATGCATGAGCTATACCGTACCGGACAAAAGAAAACAGGTGGTGTTGTTGGTGTTCGTGGCTGTGGTGGATGCTGTATGAGGATTGGGCAGAGAGAGAGAGAGAGAGAGAGACAGAAAAGACAGAGGAGAGTGTGTCGTGACGATGCTGGGATTTGGGCACCCACCTTTCTCGATGATCGGGTTCTGCTTCGGCGGCTCGTCGGGTTCCCGCGCGTCGTGCGCCGCTTGGTCCAGCTGCTCCTTGAAGCTCATCTCGCGGCCGTTGACCGTCGTTTTGGGGGCGGGAGCGAATTTGGTATTTGGCTGGGCGGACATGGTGACAAGGTGGACGGACGGGAAGTGTCAGACGTGGGTGAGAGTGGAGGTTGCGCTCGCGTGCCAGTTGTTGTCGTCGGTAAGGCTGAGCTAGGGAGGTATGGAGCTTCGGGATACGGATGGGAAGGATTTCGCCAGGTGGGAGGGACGGTAGAGACAGTTTTCGGACCAGGTTTACAGAAGTAGCAGGCGTCGCAATTGAGTTTTCGTCAATGTGGCGGAGCAACAAGCATCAAAGAGGCTAAGAGCGAAGAATTGGGTCGACGGGCAAGTAATAAGGAGGAAAGAATACGCCTGGCAGGGCTGGGGACTGGGAGGGCGCGCGGGGTGGGAAGGGCTGCTTCTACTAAATAGGTAAGCCTGATAGGGTGACGGACGGTGATGCAACAACGTGGGTGACGGGGGATAGACAGAGAGCCTGACCAGATGCAGGTTCAACTACCAAAACGCGCGTCCCGGTGCCGAGCTATGTGATCATAAGTCTGGGCGGCCGGGTGGGCTTGCAGCTTGGCCTGTCGTGCTTGATTGATGGGGACCGATGCCTTCGATCCTGGGGCTGGACTGGGCCTTTACCTAGCACTCGGAGCTTTCTTGCCGTCCGTCTATGCTAGCACTGCTAGGTATCCGTTAGGTGGCCTGGTTTGCTTGGTTCTGCGTTGTGCAACAGCCAAAAAACAGGTGCGGCGCATGGTGTGAGGTAAGAAGGGCGCCTCCGCATTCTGGGGCCAATGACGTCAAACCGCCTAGCTCGGCACTGCAGTCCCCTTGGCTGTCCCGCTAAGATAACCTTATTACGTCGCTGGAAGCTTCCTTATCGGCTCTTATCGGCTTCTTATCGCCCTTCTGCCCCTCCATTCCGCTCGAGTGGCCCGGTCCCTTTCGCGGCGGCATTTTCTTCAACGGTGATCTGACGGTTCATCCCAACCTACCCACTGGGCCTTTTTCTTTTCTTTTTGACTTTCGCAACAGCGCAACCACGCTCCCTAAAGATGGCTCCGATTCCAATCACAATCATTACCGGCTTCCTCGGCTCCGGCAAGACGACGCTGATCCTCAACCTCCTCCCGCAGCTCAAGGCCCAGAACCCGGACTACAAGCTCGCCCTGCTCAAGAACGAGTTCGGCGACCTGGCCGTCGACTCCCAGCTCGCGTCCTCCAACGCCATATCGGGCGTGCAGGAGCTGCTCAACGGCTGCATCTGCTGCAACCTCGTCGGCCAGCTCAGCACCGCCCTCGAGGAGCTGCACGCCACCGTCCGCCCCGACCGCATCGTCGTCGAGACCTCGGGCTCCGCCTTCCCCGCCACCCTCGCCCTCGAGGTCAACCGCCTCGCCCGCGAGACCGGCAACTACGTCCTCGACGGCGTCATCAGCGTCATCGACACCGAGAACTGGAAGGGCTACGAGGACACGAGCTACACCGCGCGCATCCAGGCAAAGTACACCGACCTCATCGTCTTCAACAAGTGGGAGCTCTGCTCCGAGGACCGCTTCGACGAGGTCCTCGACCGCGTCGGCGACCTCGAAATCGAGATACCGTGGGTCAAGAGCCGCAAGGGCTGGGTCGGGGCCGACCTCGTCTTCGGCGTCGACGGCGGGCTGGCGCAAGGGCTGACGGAGGACGGCGCGGCGGCCAAGGACCACGACCACGAGCACAACGGGGAGAAGCACGCGCACGACCACCAGACGGAGGTCGAGGTGCTGTCGGTGGAGCTGAAGGGCCCCAAGGGCGCGGCGGTCAACTCCGAGAAGCTGCAGGACCTGCTGCGCGCGGCACCCAAGGAGGAGGTGTACCGCATCAAGGCTGTGCTGACGGCGTCGTCCACGGTGAGGGGCTCCGATGAGGACGATGCCGCTCCCACGCCGCCGCACCCGCAGGGGCGGTACATCCTTAACTGGGCGTTTGGGAGATGGACGTTTACGCCCATTTCCGAGGGCGGGGCCGAGCACGCCTCGAGCGAGGGCGCATTGCTGCGCATGACGATGATCTTGGGACGCTACGAGAGCGCAAAGTGGAAGAAGAAGCTGGAGACGGGGTCTTTCTTAGAGGTTGAGGGAGGCGAGGGTGAGCTGGCTGTTACAAAGATCTTATGAGTAACGACGTAGATGATATACGGTTACGAGACACGGCGCATAGAGGAGTATAGACATGAACATGGGAAGGGAGAGCAGAGATAGAGTCTCGAATGTAGACATTGGGCGACAGGATCTGTGGTCGAAGAGTCAAGACCGAATGCAAAAATTTTTTTACCTCAAGTTTTTTGTCCCTAAATGAACCCCTTCTGACGATGGAATTCGTATAGTAATGTTGGGGAGGTTGATTCCTCAACCTGTAACGCGACATGCGCAACGCGGCATGCGTACATGAACGCTAGTCGGCTTCACACATCAAGTCACCACTCTACACTGACGAGATCTGGGAGTGATGTTTTACTGTATTTCTATGTTTTACAAGCGCCGGGTATCATATCTTTACACCTCTAGACCACAAAGTTCATCGTCCTGCCACCCCGCGCGACAATGACCCTCTTTGGAGACCTGACGTCAAGTGGGCCGCTGGAGAACTTGGCCTTGCCTTCGTCAGACTTCAAAACCTCCGCCAACATCCATTCCTTCAATGCATCACCCTCTAGGTCAGACGGAGGGGAGGGAATCTCCGCGACACCACGCAGCTTGCCGTTAATCTGGATAGCCACGGGCTGCTTACGGGGTGTCAGCAGCGATTCGGTGTTGTCCCTTACGGGGAAAGACGACCGGAAGATAGAACCAGCATCAGGGTATAGAATGCTCCAGCATTCTTCCGCAAAGGCGGGTGTGACAGGCGCCGTCAGCCGCAGGAGTGTAGACAATGCCTCTCTCTGGATCAGTGGGCTTGCACCCGTGTTGTCGAGCAGAGTCTTGGTCAAGCCCATGAGGTCCGAAATGACCGTATTCAAGGAGAAGACCGTCTCGTAAGATTGTGTGACAGAGTCAATGGTCCCTTGGACAGCTCTCCAGATGTGGATATCCGCATCCCAGGTGGCCAGTTCACCAGCACTCAAAGATCCCAAGTTGTTTGAGCGTTCCTCCAGATCCGTCTTGACAGAAGTTCCTTCAGCCTCAGTAGTTGACTTTTTAATTTTCTCTGCGTGGTCATGCAGCCTCTGAAGCCATCGCGTAACACCGCTAATCTTGCTCTCGTCCCAGTTGAGGACTTCGTCAACAGGTGCCTGGAAGAGCATGTGGGCTCGCGTGGAATCCGCGCCGTGCTTGGCGACAAACTGCGTCGGGTCAACTCCATTGTATTTGGACTTGGACATCTTCTCATAGGACACATTCGCCGTCTCGCCTGTGGCGATCACCTTCGGGGTGGAGCGGTCCTTCAAGTCAACCTCATCCGGCTTCAGGAACTTTCCAGTCTTCGGATCGGTGAAGGTCTCGCCGTGTACCATGCCCTGGGTGATAAGTCGGGAGAAAGGCTCGTGAACTGCGCCCTCCTCCGAAGCTGGGAAGAGAGGAGTTGTAGCCAGGAATTTGTAGAAGAATCTGGCATAGAGCAGATGCAAGATGGCGTGTTCAACGCCGCCAAGGTACAAGTCGACAGGCATCTGCTTTGCGGCCTCGATCGAGAAAGGTTCCTTCTCATTGTGAGGGTCCGTAAAGCGAGCATAGTACCAACTTGAGTCGACGAATGTGTCCATGGTGTCAGTGTCCCGCTTGGCCTCACCGCCGCACTTGGGACAACTTGTGTTAACCCAGTCATCGGCTCTTTCCAATGGGTTTCCGGGTTTTC